CTTTTTTTTTAATGTAGATAATATCGTAAAAAAAAAATGCAAAAACCAACTATTCCATACCTTTCCACCTAAACGAAAAGGGGTTTGCACCAAGACAGCTATACTGCTAATAATTGGGTTTTAAAGTGAAGACGAGACATGAAAAAGTGGAGCACTTTACTTCTCAAGCATATTTTTAGGGGTAGAATCGAATATGTAACATACTCATTGTTCATATGCTAAAAATAAAAAAATAAAAAACAAAAATTCCCCAATAAAAATGGCATGTTGTCTATTGTCCTTCAATTTCTTTAATGTAGATAATATCATTTGTTCAAAAAAAAAAATAATGACAACTAATTCACACAAAAAAAATATTTGTTTTATTATAAACGATATTGCTACTTTAATTTTTATATGTATGAATCGTGTCTTGAGACTGATCTCTCATACCTTCAATGGAAACTAGACGTCAGCAAGGCATATAATTGAAATTGGACAACCTCACACCCCAACAAATGTAGTCGAAATGACAAATCGAATGTCCATGATCGAGTGTGACCGCATGATTGATTGTTTAGGTAGGACCTTCAACAAAGAGAGCTGATCAACAAATTCAGACTATTATTTGTCAACTAGGATGTCCTCTCGTTCTTATTATAAATTAATTGTCTTAATTCTTATAACACAATTGCTACACTTATCTACTTTGTACTTTTCACATGCCCCCATCTTATTTCACACTCAACTTTTCAATTGTTTAATACTTTGATGTAATTATACATAGGGTGATGATTTTCACATATTGCATTTTACTCGCACACACCCTCAAAAATTGTTACTAGTTCTATATTGAAAGAGTATGTGAGAGGTAAAACGGGTGAAGATCACCACCCTATATTGAACTACAAGAATTAGAATCACTCCCTTAGAACCAAGGTATTAAATATCGATGATATCGGAAATATCGGTAGTCCAAAAACATAGAAATTTCGATGGAAATATCGGGATATTATCGATATCAATAAAAATTGAATAAAAACCACGGAAATTGTAAGAAAAACTTGGAAATTTTTATTAAAACTTTGCAGGATATTTATTTAGTCAATTATTTATTAGTTTATCACAAAAAATTGGAAGGAAATGAATTGCATGATAGATATAACTTATTTAAGTTGATTATATAGTGAGCTGGCAAACATTGTGAGTGCAGAAAATATGTAGTAATTAATGAAAGAAGTTTAAACACACCATAATCATTTATATATAATGAATTGGTACAATATTTTACACTTTATACATTGCATAGTAAGATACATGAGTGACTTAGTAAGGTCTAAAATATCGATGATATCAGAAATATCGGTAGTTCAAAAAAATATCGGTAGTCCAAAAACACGGAAATTTCGATGGAAATATCGGGATACTATAGATATTTTAGACCATGCTTAGAACTCAGATCTTCCGATCCAATGTGCGAAAAGCCTAAATTAGACTAGAGAGATGAGAAAATATTTAAACCTGAAACACTTCGAGTTAAAAAAAAATAATCTATCTACTAGAACGATGGACCACTTGCATGCAAAAAAACATTTTGTAAAATCGAAACATGTTCCTTTTAGCTTGATTTTTACAATGGAAAAGAATGAGAATCCGAGTGTCTATTTTGCTTCCTTTCACTTTCATTTCCCACTTTGAAATCTCATGCCAAAAGCAGTTGGTTGAGTGTCCATGCCAACCCAAGGTGAGTGGCCACAGCATTAAGCTTTGGTGCATCCAAATCTCTCTCTCTCGTGAAAAGTCGTATACCAACAACGATTGCAATCATTTTTTTTATACATCCCAACTTTGTAGATAAAGATTCGACCTAGTTTCGATGGTGATTTTTAAAAACTAAGGACCTATTTGGTAGCGTATTAAAAAAAAATTTAGAATTTTTCAAAACATTTCTTAAAAACATCTTTTAAAAAGAATTTTCTTTAAAATTTAAAAACTTGTTGGTACTCAAAATTGCCTTTAATTTTAATAATTAAAAAAATTAAAAATAAAAAACCTACAAGGCTACAACAACTCCCTGTGGATTCAGAAACTACTACTAAATTCAATTGGATAGACAAAGAGCTAAAAGAGAGGGGATTAGGAGAGGAGAGAGAAAGATATGAAAGAGATAAATAGCTAAAAGATCATAAATGAGAAAGGAGAGTAGAGAGAAAGCACTGATTTGGAGTATAAAAACTCTAAAAATTCACTTTATGAGTTTTTTAAAGAGTAATGTTATCCTTACCACAATTTTATACCGTATTTTTTTACCATCTTAGGATAAGTTGGACAAGCTACATCATTTAATTTCAATATTTTTATTAATTAAAACAGAAGAAGACTCTTTATATACTACAATCATCATTTAATTAACAATATTTTTATTAATTATTGATTAACATTTTGAAATTAAATGCTAATTAATTTAAATGATGTGGCTGTCTACCTCAAATGTTACCTAAGGTGATATACAATTGTAGTACAAAAATATGGTAAGAATAGCATTATTATTTTTTAAAAGTAAACTAATTTTTAAGTTAATTTTGGGGTAAGTGACAAAAAACTACCTTAACTATTGGTGTTACGATACTATCATACCTCATCTTTTAAAATTGACAATGTCATACCTCATCTTTAGAATTTGGTCCAATGTTATACCTTATGTTAGCCTGGCCGTGAATTTGTCAGTTAAATGCTGACGTGGCTTGATCCAGAATCCACTTTCTATTAAAAAATAGTAAAAAAACTATAAAAAAATCATTTAATATTTTTTAAATATTAAAATAATAAAAAATTAAAAAAAAAAAGAAGCCAAAACCTCACTTTGTCCCTTCGACCCTCCTCTCCCTGTCTCTGTCTTCTCCCCCATCTTCATCTTCTTCCCCTACCTACAACCCAGAAAAAAAAAAAGCCCAAACTTCCCCCACCCCTTCCCCTTATCCTCTCATCTTTTCTCCCCCATCTTCATCTTCTTCCTAGTTCATCTTCTCCCCGCACCCACCCTCGCATTCACCCTCCGCACCCAACCTCGCACCCACCTAGGGGTGGTTCGGTAATACCGAACCAAAACCTTAGTCCCGATTCCCAAACCGAAATTTTCAGTATTCCCAATTTCAATACCGATCCCAAACCAAAATTTCGGTAATCCCAATTTTTGGGAATCCCAAAATAGTTTTGGTATTTCGGGACAATCGAGAATCCCGAAATATTTTTGGGCTTTTGGTGATTCTGTATTCCCAATTCCCATAGTTGTTATATTTTCACTGAAATAATCAGGTACATACTTCAAACATTATTGTGCTTCTTGTTTTCCTTCATTTCGTGATTGTTCTTCCATTACTAGTTTCAACTTCATACTCCCGATGAGTTACCTGGCATGAAGTTGAGGGGGTAGAAGGTATAGTGCATGAATTGATCAAAAGATATCGGTAGGCAACATTAAACTCTTAAACAACCACCAGTGCAACCGCGGATAAGTTTTATATGATATTTTCTTTTTTAGTACTGAGATGCAATTATAAGTTTATAACCTATAGAACAGAGTTGTTTTACCATTTAAGAATACACTAGAAGGCAAACCTATTACAAAAGTTATACCTTTTTGTGATTGTGGAATACTCATTACACTTCTGGTGTTTATGTTCTCTACTTTCTTCAACAACTTTGACACTGGTGTTTGTGTTACTTCCAGTAAAGGTGACTCCTATCAATGAAATAGAATGACACATAACACATATCATAATCCTTCATATCTTTATGTTGCCGGGATGAAAAATAAAGTAACCTGATTTTTTTATTATTGTGCCAACATGATTTATATATATTATTATATGTGTGTGTGTATATATATATAAAATAATTAAAAATATATATTTCGGTTGGGTATGGGAATACGAAATATTGGAAAGACAATCCCGATTCCCATACTGAAATTTCAGTATTTTTTCGGGATAGCATACCCAAAATTTTGGGAAAATCGGTTTGGGACATTTTTGGTTTGGGATCAGTATTTTTTCAGTTTGGTTTGGGATTTTTGGGAAATTTTTCCACCCCTACACCCACCCTCTTCCATCCTGTACACACCCCACTCCTTAAATCCACATCCATTCCCTCAATTTTCTCCGCGCTCAGGTTCTTCACCCACAGAATCAACCTTCGCCGGGGTAGATGGGATATGGGGTTTTTTTTTTTTTTGGTTGCAAGTAGTGGATGTGAGGGGTTTAGGGAAGACGGGAGGGGGGGAAGAAAATGGTGGGTTGCAGGGAAGGAGGGGTCGAGGAAGATGAAGATGGGTTTTTTTTTTTTTTTTTTTTTTTTTGGGGTTGCAAGTTGAGCTCGGGTGGGGGAGAAGAGGGGGGAAGACAAACTGAGGGTGGGTGCAGGGGGAAGACAAATTGGTTTTTTTTCTTTCTTTTTTCTGGGTTGTCGGTAGGGAGAAGAAGAAGATTTGGGGGGGGGGGAGAGAGAGGGGAGGGGGGAAGAGAAACTGAGGTTTTTTTTTTCCTTTATTTTTTTAATATTTAAAAAATATTAAATGATTTTTTTTAGTTTTTTTTAATTTTTTTTTAATTTTTTACTAGAAAGTAGGCTCTGGATCAAGCCACGTCAATATTTAACTAACAAATTCAAGGCCAGGTGGAAGGTATAACATTGGACCAAATTCTAAAGATGAGGTATGACATTGTCAATTTTAAAAGATGAGGTATGATAGTTTCGTGACATCAAGAGTTAAAGTAGTTTTGTATAATTTATCCTTAAATTTGACTTCGAAAAAAAAAAAAAAAAAAAAAAAAAAAAAAAAAAAAAAAGTATTCAAAAGTGTAAAACGTAGAAAGTATTTGTAGAAAGTATTTTTACGTCTAAAAAGTAAATTTCAAATAAAGTACCAAACAAACTCTAAACCAAATTTCGTAATTGGTTTCCTTTTAGTTTTATTGAAAAACACTACCAACTACCAAACAAAATGAGTAATTCAATTTTTATGGGTAATATGTGAAATATTGTTTTCTATCATATGGATTCAATTGAAATTAGAATCAGTGTGGTACCAGCCAACCACTCTCCCATGCCGACATGAAGTGCTTGCAGCAAGGAGTAAGGAGTTCATTTCTCTTTTTGTGTCACTCAAACAACGACCTCCGGCTAAACAATACGTTACCCATCACCGTAAAATGGTGAGCATCGCCACCACATTATGTCCTCTTATGAAAATCATGTGTGCGATCTAATGGACACAATTATTTACACCCATACTTCCATAAACAAACGTTACAAACCTACTTCATGTAGCATTCTGAATGCTCGTAGAAAACTGACACAAGGCTTATCCATACAACTAGCAATCACATGACATTGCCGTAGTTTGTAGACATTTTCTTTTCATAAAATGCACCAATCCGAAAAACTGTACACATCGAAATGGGAACAACGTACCTCGCTGCTTTTGATGTTACTCGCAGAAAAAGATGTTGGTTTTGGGTTTTGTTTCTCAACTTGATCCTAAATGAATTCCGGAATGCTTTTAAAAGAAGCACGGCTGGCAAAAGCAGTCGATTGCGTGCATCAGTTTCCTACGGGGCCCTACTGCATTGGCACCCATGTCTTTGAGCTTCTTCATGGTCAGATTCACCAACTGGAACTTACTCAGACCTTTCCTCTGGAAAATGCTAACAAACTGCCCCAGTCCTAGTGATGCTAACCACCTGCTTAACCCGCCGGCTTTCTGAAGCTTCCTCTCAAGATTCAGAGCTCTCAGCTTTTGATTCAGCAGCATTCCCTGATCAAGGAAAATACTCGGGCCATGTCGTAATTTTCTTGGCTGAATGATGGCTTTTGAGGTTTTAAATACTCCCGGTGTTCTATGAGACTGTGAAGTAGCAATCTGATCTGGATTTCGTAATTCCATTCTTATATCTCGCTTGATTGACTTCCCAAATGTTGAAACGTAGTCAGCAGAAGGAGATTTTCTAGTAACTGAACAACCCTTTTATGAGCAATAGATTTAATCCTCTTTTGCTCCTGAACTGAAGTCGTCTTAGGAAATGCCTCAGTCTCGACAGGAAACTGTGATTTGTTTCCTTCCGCTTCTCTGGCCACAGGTTGCAGCTGGACTGGTCCTGGATTTGGCGGTGGAGATTTATTAGCAACAGGCAGGGGAGGTATCAGAATTTTGACTCTCTGCTTCTTAACTATCACCCAACTATCTTGCAGATCAGGATCATTATCGGAGTTTGAAGACTCAATTAGACCACCAGTGGAGGTATTATTCTTGTGCTGGGCAACCCCAAGCTGCGTTTGCCTTTTCTTTGCCATCATCAGAGAACCTGCTCGTGAAATCAAATGTTCACTGGATCAGAAACAATGAGATCATTGTCGACTTGAAATTCGCCTCCGTATCTTAAGCAATTTAACACGATACAACAAATACTTCAGAATGCAAAGGTTTTACCCGGTAAAAAACTTTACAGTATGTTTATATCAAAATTCAGAAACAAAGTCCGACGAAAACACTGCGATTATTGTGCTAGTAATGAATAATGAGTGCAACAATGCACGGACTTTTCTTTTCAGATGGAATTAAAGCATCCAAAAAGGGTATTAGTTCCCTCCTTACTAACATTATAATCGAAAATGTACTTTCTTTTTATCTTCATCTAAAGATCATATCTAGAAAAAATCATTGGATTTGAAGATCGAACAAATGGACTGTTATTTGTGCAAAATTAAACAAACTTTAATAATTTTAACTGGATTAAAGTTTCAAATAAATTCATGCATTTTCAAGAACCCAAACAATCCCAGAAGCTAATGAAGCAAAGAGTCATGCTTGCACAAGCAAAGATTAAAAAGCAAACAAGAAAATCGAAATGGGGATATTTACCAGTAGGAAGCTGGAGGAGGAGGAGGAGGTGTGATGGGTCGGTGGTTGTTGCTTAGGGGACGGCTTCTGGGCGGTGGATCTCAGAATCTCAGATCAAACGGGTTTGGGTCGGGTGCGCAGGTGGGTCTCGCTTTCAGTTGGGTTCGCAGATGAAACCTGAATCTTTTGGTTTAGGAGAAGAGAGGCTGTCTATCCTCTGCTCTGCCGACTGCAGCCGACGGACACCGGGTGCTAATCGAATCGAGGAGATGGAGGAACAATTGTCAACTCAACAGTTCAAATTTACCCCACATATATTTTTTTGTTGATATTTAACCCACATATTTTTTATTGCTCAATTACCCCACAAATTTGTTTACACCTTCACAATTGAGTCAAAATTCTATAAGTTGTTGCAGTCATATTTAGAATAGGAATATAATTGTGTAAATCCTAGAGAATCTGGAAAAGTATCTTATATTCCTATTAGGATTAGATTACCTATTAAATATTGTAATCCTAAAGGGAAGGGTTTTACCCTTCCTACTATTATAAATAAAGGCACAATGAGGTGAATTAAACACACCTCACAATTAAATCAATCTTTCTTCTCTCTCAATATTGCTGAACCCCTCTCTCTCTCTAAACCCTAGATTGTTCAATCAAATAGGCCTACAACACGTTATCAGCACGCTCTTACCAGAAACTGAGGAATTGAAGCATCGTTGGAGGAGACTATCATCCACCAAATTCAAAGACTTATTTGTTTTCTACTATTTAGGTACACTTAAAATAAAAGAAGATATTTGAAACGTCCACGAAGCATGAAAACATTCGCCGTGATGCATGAACCCTTCTATGTTTATATTTTCCCTTCGATATATATATATATATATATATATATATATTGTATATGTTCATATATTTGTTTCACGCATTGCACAATTAAATTGTTATGTGGTGTTTATACCATACTCAGGGCCTCTGTATTTAGATCTCGTATAAATACTCGGAGGACTCAAATGTAATTATGTAATAAATGAAGGGGCAAATATGTAATAAGTGAGGAGTCCTTATTCTATAAAAGGACTCATCACTCTCTTCATTGAAGGAGCCAAGTTTAGGCCAGGATTGAGGGCAAGGCTTAGGCCACAGAAAATGGGCTAGAGAGCACACTGCCTCTAGCCTTCTTGTATATTCACCATTCAGAGTGAAACAATATCAACATCAGTGTGGACGTAGCCTAAACATTGGGATGAACCACGATACATCTTGTGTTATTTACTTTCTTGCAGATCTACGGTCGGATTTACGTTGTTCCAAGACTTTCCGGTTTTGTGCATCAACATTTGGCACCGTCTGCGAGAAATGATATGAAAAGTTGTGTCGGTTCTCTTTCATTTTTTCACCTCCACCATGAATCTGCAAAAACCCAAAAACCTCACTTTTTAGGCTTCTCCAGAAAATTTTCGCAAACCTTCAACCACCTATTTCTTCTCTCTCAGTTAGTCAACACGGAAACCAAAGATTTCAGCTGCAAATTCACCTGCTTTTGCAGAAAGCCACCTTCTTTTGCAGAAAGACAACACGAAAACCAAAGATCTCAGTCTCCTACACTAGTCCAATCCACTTGCTTTTGCAGAAAGCCATAAACAACTCACAGATCCGAGTTGCAGTTCACTATGGCATCCCATCCACAACGTCCATTCTTGCTTTCGACTCAATTAACACCCACCTCACAGATCCGATCCAATTCACCGATCCTCCACAATTTCAAGTCCCTGGTCGACTCCAATCCCACTCCAAATTCTTCCGTCAAACTCTGTCGTCTCGCCTGGGTTCGGCGCTCATGAATGTTTCTGGCCTAGGTTCGACGCTGACAAGAAGAATTAACTCTCCGGCGAGCAGTAGGTGCAGAGCCCGATGGTGGCCAACTCAATGCGATAAGAACTTTATTATCAGATGAGATGGGTTTTTAGACCCAGAAGAACATCTTTCGCAGTGACTTAGAACCAATTCATTACGGACATAGAGACGACTATTGATGGTAGAGCCGTAAACGGCGTCGTCAAACCCAACCCAACGGTATTTGGCTGCAGATACAGAAGCAAAAATGGCCGAGTCTCTTCATAAGGCTTTCTCCATCATTGGATTCACAGTTCGTTTGTAAGGACCGAACCACTTGTTTTGCATATAACGATCATTCTGCCACGGAGGCACAGAGAGATCCGTACTCCTCAGCGATCTCTTCACTGCGTCGCTTGTGACCCGCATAATCCGTTTCAGGCTTGTCGAGACGTATCCTGGGTTGCAGTACTTGAATGGTTTCCATTAGGTGAAGGTTGTGTTGCGTCCTAATGTGTCCGGTGGGATGTATGAAAAAGTTACGATTATATCAGGCAGTTGTAGTTGCAGCGACGGTGGTGGAAGCACAAGGACCGTCATTGATCGAACCACAACGGAAATGGAATGATTCAGTGAGACATAGGAGAGTGTCCCTAGTGCAGTTGCCTAAAATCAGTTCAAGAAGACTAGACTGACAGTAGAGAGGAAGAAGATAAGCTTTCTCAATAATCAGTTTGTTATTATTCCTCTTGTCTGCCATCTGCCAAAAGAAAGAAAAACAAAGAGAAAGCAAAAGCAAAAGAGAGAGGCGCAGTGGGAAACAAAAGCAGAATGCAGAAAGAAATCTCAGAAAGCAAAAGCAGAAAGCAAAAGAAGATAAAAAGAAGCAGACATAATTGCGGTGGCATGCAAAAAAGGGAATTATGGGCGTGACCCATTGAGCAGAGGGTCGTATTTATTTTTGAATGATGTGATTTATTTTTCTTATCTTTCGGAGACATCTGTATAACCCCATAAGAGGGTAATAAAAAAAAACAAAAAAAACGGCAAGCTTAAAATAATGGCTGAAATGTTATGTGGAGGGCAAAGGCCCATATGCCCTAAAGAGTCAGGCCCTATGGCTTTAAACTCCAACCTCCATCCCTCCACTTAAGGTTCACCCTCTATTATCACCAACCAGGTAATCAAAAGTACGTCCAGTACTCCAAAATTATTCGGCAACTTGCCGCTATTATCACCAACCAGGTGATCAAAAGTACGTCCAGTACTCCAAATTTATTCGGCACCCCGCCGCTATTATCACCAACTAGATGATCAAAAGTACGCCCAGTACTCCAAAATTATTCGGCAGCCTGCCGCTATTATCACCAACCAGGTGATCAAAAGTACGTCCTATTATCACCAACCAGGTGATCAAAAGTACGTTCAGTACTCCAAAATTATTCGGCAGCCTGCCACTATTATCACTAACCAGGTGATCAAAAGTATGTCCAGTACTCCAAAATTATACATGAACATCACTCATGTCAATCATGCATAAACATTCATGAGCATCACTCATGTCAATCATACATAAACATTCATGAACATCACTCATGTCAACATTCATGAGCATCACTCATGTCAACATCCATGAGCATCACTCATGTCAATCAACATAAATATTCATGAGTATCACTCATGTCAATCAGCTTCGAAAGCTTCATTTACAAAGCTCCAGCTTCAAGAGTTCCAGCTTCGAAAGCTTCATTTATAGAGCTCCAGCTTCAAAGTTTCATTTACAAAAGCTCCAGATTCAAAGCTTCAATTTCAAAGCTTCACCTACAAAGCTTCAGTGCATGGTCTACAAAGACCACCTCCGAACAACTGCCACTTAGGCTCATATATGGATTGAATTTGAAGTCTCCAGCCAACAACCTCTATTGACTGAAGACTTGGGGGACTATACTATGTACCATATATTAGGCCTTATGAAAAATACTTGGGAGACTTAGCCCATCATTTATGTATTGAGAAGCGAGCCCTTATTCTATAAAGACTCCCTCACCTTCATTAGAGAGAGCATCACCGCCTGCTGAGCAACCGCCTCGCTACGAGCATCACTCTAACCCATCACTTATGTATTAAAAAGCGAGCCCTTATTCTATAAAAAGAACTCCATCATCATCATTAGAGAGCATCGTCGCCTGCTGAGCAACCACCTCGCCGCGATCATCAACTCTAACCCATCATTTATGTATTGAAGAGCGATCCCTTATTCTATAAAAGGGACTCCCTCACCTTCAAACGCCACAAGCCGAGCTAACCAAGGCAACATAAGCCACAAGCCGAGTAGCCTCGCAACATGTGCTACTTCTAGTTGAGCATCATTTCACATTGAGCACCACCTTATATAGAGTATCAGTTCTAGACGACATCTAGTTACTTCGTCCCATACATGGACTGAATTTCAAGTCTCTAGCCAAAAGACTCTCTTGACTGTAGACTTGGGGGACTACTGTTTATACCATACTTAGGGCCTCCATATTTAGGTCTCGTATAAATACTCGGAGGACTTAAATGTAATTATGTAATAAATGAAGGGGCAAATATGTAATAAGTGAGGAGCCCTTATTCTATAACAGGACTCCTCACTGTCTTCATTAAAGGAGCCAAGTTTGCCAGGATTGAGGGCAAGGCTTAGGCCACAGAAAATGGGCTAGAGAGAAAATAGGCTAGAGAGCACACTGCCTCTAGCCTTCTTGTATATTCACCATTCAAAGTGAAACAACATCAACATCAATGTGGACGTAGCCTAAACATTGGGGTGAACCACGATACATCTTGTGTTCTTTACTTTCTTGCAGATCCACAGTCGGATTTACGTTGTTCCAAGACCCTCCGGTTTTGTGCATCAATATGTAGAATTTGTGAGTCAAAGTACAAAATTAAATTAGATGCATATTTAGAGTTTTCCTAAACCCTATGGGATTTTGAAAAAAAAAAAGAAGGGGAAATTGGACATAATTTGGCACTACCTCTGCGACACAACATTGGCAGCAGCCTTTTGGGCTTTGCTGCACCTACATGGACCTCCAGGCTTTCAGTCTGCTTGAGTGGAATAAGCCTACAGCCCTAGCTCCTTCTCTGTGGAGGCTTGCAGTCTTCCTGGACCTTGACCAAACCCATGGCAAGCTTTGCTTGCTGGGTTTTTGTCTTGCACACACCCATGCTCGCAGACATGCTACCTTTGGTGCTAACCCACTCGATTGGGCCTTGTTTCCGTGTCGCCCGCAACACAGGAAGCTAGCCTATGCGGCTGGGCTCCCATTCGAACACACATGCCAGCCTACGGGGCTGGGCTTTGTCCACTCGTGCCCAACCAAAGTCAACTTTTTGCGTTGGGTTTTTTGTACACCCATGGCACCAAGCCCAAATATTTTTGGGGCTATATTTTCTATCCAATAATATTATGT